CCTCCCCTGAGGCTGGGTGCCATGGCTTGTGCCTATAATTCTAGGAGTGTGGAAGGCCAAGGTAGGTGGACTGCTTGAGCTCACGAGTTTGAGACTAGCCTGAGCAACAGCAAGACTCCATCCCTACTAATAAGACTAGCCAGGTGCTGGGGCACACACCTGTAGTCCCAGCTGTTTGGGAGGCTGAGGCAAGAGAATTACTTAAGCTTAACAGTTTGAAGGTGCTGTTGAGGCAACATAGTCAGACTGACTCTGTCTCATTAAAAAAAAAAAAAAAAAGAACCTCCCCTGTTTAAAAACCTTTCAGGGTTCCTCTCACTGCCTGCAAGACACTTCTTAACACAGCTCATGTTTCCCGCTTCCTTCTTCTCACCCACTCTCTCTCCCTTAAGCATGCCACTTGAAGATGGTTGCTCGCTTTGCCCTCTTCTGTCTGGATCCATAAGATGCTCCCAGAACCCTTTATGCCTACCCCTGTCATTGTCGTTGCATTTGTCACACCCATGGTTGATTTGTGCACCTTTCCAAATCAGACTAGGCAAGAAAAGGTCTAATTCATGTCATACTATTAACGCCTAGCACTGGGCCTAACACACAGCACCCTCCTCGGTGTCTGCTGCAAGAACGATGGATTCGTTTTACACAGAGTACTCTCAGGAAAGGCCATGGCCTAATAAATAATTTTTGAAGGCGAAAGCCCAAAATAGCAGCTTCACTTCTTGATTCATCTGCTTTTCTAGCTGGCAACTCCATCCTTTTGGTCAGCAAATACTGCCCCTGTGCCATGCGCTTGCAGAAAAACCCGAATTAGACAGAGTCCCCGCCCCAGATTGCTCCCCTCAATGCGGATTGGGAAAGTTTCGTTTTAAAAAAGTGGTCACAGCTCGGCGCCTGTGGCTCAAGTGGCTAAGGTGCCAGCCACATACCACATACACCGAAGGTGGGTTCGAATCCAGCCCCGGTCCGCCCAACAACAAGTACGGCTGCAACCAAAAAATAGCCGGGCGTTGTGACGGGCGCCTGTGGTCCCAGCTACTTGGGAGGCTGAGGCAGGAGACTCGCTTGAGCCCAGGAGTTGGAGGCTCTGTTTCTTTCTTTCTTTTCTTTTCT